GAATCATGGTTTAAAAGTGTAAAATTTTGCAGTTTTATAATATTCTTTAGAACTGTAAAATTTTACAGTTTCATGACATATTTTTCAATTTGATTAATAAGGATAAATACTTAATAGATTTTTGTTCTGAAACTGTAATATTTTACAGTTTCAAAACTTGTTTTTCAGTTTGATCAACATTGGCGATTATTTGCTTAAACTCTACAAAAATTGAAAAATAACATATGTTTTTCTCATTGTTGCTGTTTTTTGTCGTTATATTTTTATTCCTTTTAGTTTATCAATATTTAGCACATTTTGCTATGTTTTTTGCTCTAATTTCTCCATTTATTCTTTTTTTTTTCCGGACAATATTCTGGACATTTCAGTGAGTCTCCAATGATGTTCTTAACGTTCAACGAACATTTTGGATATTCCGGTGACTTCCATTGGCATTCATAACAGTCCAGTGAACTTCCGTTGACTTCCTGACGATACTCCAATGACTTTCCAGCGATACTCCGAGAACTTCCCGGTGATGTTGAACATTCCGGTGAGTCTCGAGTGACCGTCTGACGGTAGTGGGATGTAACAGTGTCCGTAATTTTATTTTATTTTTTTTTAAAAAAAAGGATTTTTTGGTAACAATTAAAAATATATGGGACTAATTGGTATAAGTATTTTGTTTTAGGATTAGATGAGTTTTGAATTTTATATATGGGACTAATTGGTAAGTTCCCCTTCCTCTATTTCGCTCAAGTTATTGAACCATCAACGTTGATAGTTCTTTCTCGCTGGATTCTTACTCTCTTAACCTTGATCACCTCTCTCTACTTATGTGTCTTTACAACAAATCCTTGAGTTTGTCACTACTCTCTCTGTCTATTTCAACCCTATTGTAGTTGACGTTACGAAATTTTGTGACTTAATTACGATATTTGTGATTTCTAATAATTTTGAACAATTTTGTTACGCCAATTAGTGATGTGGTTACATATTTTGTGTTTTATCTTGTGAAACTTTGTGACTTGATTACGATATTTGTGGTTTCTAAAAGTTTAGGCTATGTTTGGAGCAGCTCTGGAAACATGATTCCAGTGCATTTTTCAATGCTTTGCTTGGTTTAAGTTTTCAAAAATTGGTTCCAATGTCACATTTCAAAACTCATTTTAGATCATGTTTGGAGAATAGAGAGTTTTTTGAATTTTGAAAAGAGCAAATTGGGTCTACCCGGTCATCCTCCCAGACGTCCCCCGGTTGACCGGAACAGTATTTTTTTTTTTGTTGGAAGGGGGGACAATTAGCACCTGTTATTTGAAAAAAATAAATAAATAGGAATTTGTTTTTGATTTTTTTAACAAAAAATATAATATATATATTTTTATATTTTAAATAAAAAATATTTTTGGAATTTTTTAAAATGTTGTAAATAAAAAATCGTTTTTATCAATAATTATTTTTTTTTCATTGAATTTTAAAATGAGTGTGGTTATGAGTTTTGAATAGGATTTTGAGTTGTGTGTTTGGTTATAAGTTATAAGTTTTTGAATCAAACAACATTTGTAATTTAAAATTCATTTCAAAAATTCAAAAAGCTTTTTTCAAAACTTATAACCAAACAAATTTTCTATTTTCAAATCATAATTCAAAAACCACAAGCTCAAAATATCACTCTACACTCAAATCATAATTGTAAAACTTTACCAAACGCTACCTTAGATATTATTGTTACACTAGTTAGTGGTGTGCTTATACATTTTGTGATTGATGAATACAATGCACAAAAATAAACAAATAATTTATATTAAAAAAAATTAAAAATTTAAGATTTTAATTACAAAAATAAACAACTACTTGCTCTGCCACTTGATTCCTCAGAGGTAGGTGGCGTTGGTCCAAGAATGTCCTTCAAAATATCCCTTGTGCAGTTGATGTTGATGAGGACGAGGAGATTAGATCACCCGGATGCTTCCCCATAATCACTTCCACTGCTAGCACCCCAAAACTATAAACATCGCACTTCTCATTCATTTCCATTGTGCAAGCAAGTTCTGCCAAAAATTAAAAATGCCCAACAAAAAATAGTTAAATAAAGAAAGGGAGGAAAAGTACACAAAAATGCTCCTGGCCCAATTCCAGACATTCATTAAATTGCTTGGAATTCTTTGATAGATGATGCGAATAGTTTAGGGTTCCAAAAGAAGGAAATTATATAAGTGCTTGATGAATGCCAATGCCGAAATTTAAGAATATGAAAACCTGGGAACTATGAATATCTTAAAATAGGATAGTTAGTTCATTGAAGCAACTACCTACCTTTCCATACATGATTTTCAAGACATCGATAGGATTGTTAGTCACCAATATTAACTAAAGTCTTTCAAGTGTTATTAGTCTTTTTGATTTGACGACCAACCCAAACAATTTGAGAGAAATAAAGAATTAATGAAAATTTGGTCAGTCCCAAATGTTAACTGTAGAAAAAAGTCTTTCAAGTGTTATTAGTCTTTTTGATTTGACGACCAACCCAAACAATTTGAGAGAAATAAAGAATTAATGAAAATTTGGTCAGTCCCAAATGTTAACTGTAGAAATGTAAGTTTTTGAAGCAATGAAGCTTTTGAAGGGCTGTTCACAAGTGTAAGGGTGGAGGCATGATTTTAATCATAGGGGGCGAACTTATACTCAAGGAGAAAAAATACTACTTGTGTTGCTTAGTTTGGATAATTTTCATTGACAAAAATGTGCATTTTGTAGTCACTATAGAAATAGGTAAAGTTAAATGATGACGATTCAATCTATTGATAAGAGGATAGATTATCGACTTTCTTGCTTTGCAAACACTTTGGCATAACTCAAATATTATTAACAATTTTTGAAATTTGGAATGTCTAATTTTTTAACTTGAATTTCAAAGGAAAATTAAATTTACTTGCAAGCTTGCATATATCTTCAATTTTGAAAAATCAATCAGTTTTTTTTCTAGAGTCGCCACTGCATTCCTGTGGACTATACATACCATTATTTATTGCCTTGCTTATATCGGAAGGAGTACAATTTTAATCAAAAGATTATCAAAGACTTGAATTATCAGTCATGTCTTCCCTCTGCAGGTGTAGCTAACAAGCCAAAGTTAACAATTAACTGATGTGTGGTTTTGAAGTTACACAATGCTTACATTTTGATAAGGTTTTAAGTATGCTGCCAAGAGGAGCTACATGATCTTTCTTTCTTTACATTTGAAATGATCAAGGGTTGTTTTGTTGGCCCGAAGAAGAGGGTGGTTGTTATGCTTAGCCAGTATCTTCTCATGTAGGAATTCTGTGTGGTCCTCGAGCAGATTAAACTCAAGTTCATTAGCACATATTCTGAGTCTGGACATGGACGCTTTCAGACTATAAAATAGAAGCATAAGTTTTATGGACACCTAAAGACATAATAATGCAAACTTCTCAAATTTTGGGTTGTCGATGCTAGTTCGGTGAACAAGGTTTTGTGACTTTGATGTTTCTTGGGACAATTATCATCAATTTACTTTTTCAATATTATTTTTGAGTGTCTTAGTTCTGAGGACTTGAACAGTACGAATGAAATTTTTGTTTATCAGAGATTTTAAAACCCCATAGTTTTTTATTTGGTTTTTAATATAATTTGCCTATTTTTATTAGAGATATTTTTAACCCAATGTTTTAGACTAGGTTCTTAATTTTATTTACTATATTTTAGTCTGGTGTAGCAATTTTATATGCCTAACCTTAATGTGTGAGATTTTTATTTGATCTACTAGCATGTTGTCCGTGAATTTAGAATTTGCCTATGCATATTTTCTAAAATGTCCATCTTAAATGCAATGAACTTCTTAAGCATGTCGAGATATCTAGCCTTTGCTCATTTTTGTGGTAATAATTCAACAACACTTCTTTGTTGACAAAAGTGGTCATGTGCATGACTATGTCTAAGAGTTCATTTGTATCAGTTTGCTTTGTGTGTTAGACCTACATGTGCACATGTTTGAGACTGAGGTCTACAGATCGGGCCAGGAAAAAGGCATATAGTTTTTGTAGAATCAATGTTGTAGGAATGATTTGGATGCTTGAAACTGACTTTCTAGTGAATGTTTCGGTATGGTGAGGATGTTTTACGATGTGTTTGAATTGATTTTCCTTTTTTCCTTTGTGAAAGCCCTCTTTTTTTTTGTTTTTTGTTTTGTTTTGTTTTGTTTTGGTCAGCCAAAAGAAAAGAATCTTTTTAATCAAAAGTAGATCAAGGAACTTACAAAGAGTGGGAACAACTCTGTGTCATTATCAAAAACATAGCATCCCAACTATGTTGGCACCCTATGCATGATCAATCATGAGCAATCTCATAGTAAACCAGAAATGGAGAGGTTCCAATATAGCTACACAACAAAGAAGCAGACCAGAAAAACAAAAAACAGAGAAAACAAAGCAAAAGTTCAAGCCCCAGCACCATGCCTACACTGCTGCAAATTGAAGATCAGATCATAAACTGAATGCCCATTTTGAGGTTTAGGGACTTACAAAAATTTAGCGTTTCTTTGTTTATTCAAGAGAATGAGTGGAAGGAGGAAAAAGTTTATGAAATGATCAAAGAATTATCCGTCCTATGCAAATTGGTGCCAACCTTGAATGCTTGTTAAATATCATAAGGTGTGATTCATTAACTTCATTTCATATACAAAGCAATTACATCTGAACCATACGAATAGAGAGATTGAAAGAAAAACACCACCTAAGTCTATTATAGGAGAGAATCCTAAAAAACTAAGTTCACCAAACTCCCAATCCACCAAAGTGAAAGCAACACACCACATCACTACCTTGCTAGAAGCAAAATCAAAACAAAACACGTAAAACAGGACAAACAAACCCACCCAAAACTTAGATGATTGCTCTCTGGTTGAGATGACCAACGAAGACTGAGTCAAATCCTTGCATTTCTCAAAAAAGTAGCCATACAGCGAGCTTGGTTCTCTTGGCTTTTGGAACTCAGGACTAAAGTCATAGATGTCCAATAACAATGGTGCCAAGTTCCCATGGAAAATCTTGTTCACCAACTACCTAGAAATACAAATATCAAGAAGGCAAGATATTATACAATGTTGTACATGTTGATTGCATGCAAGATGGCAAGAGCTTGAGTGTGTCTATTATTCATGGTTGGATTACACTGACCACAGAGCCTACTTGTTGATTGAGAGCCAAGATATATGTAATACAACAAGTGGGCTATTGCAGAATTCAAGACACATTATTGTATCTCTAACTGTGATGGAAATTATAGAGAATTGATACTTTTAAATTAGGCATATAAAAGTTTGTAAAATAGACTGGAAACAGGGTGAAATTGAATGGTATAAGAAGACAATTGAAAGCAAGAACATTAGGCAATCCAAGGATAAAAGGGAAAATAAATACTCAAGAGCTCGATCAGTTGATGTCAAAGAGTTGTCCTAATGTAATCTTGTAGAATTGATTTTGCAGTGTTGGCCTATGCTTTGATAGTGTCATAGCAACTTGTTGCATGGTTGGCCGAGACAGTGGAGTGGTGTGTAAACATGCAAATGCTAGTTTCGCAACAACAACTACTTGCTCTGCCACTTGATTCCTCGGAGGTAGGGGGCGTTGGTCCAAGACGTTCTTCAAAAATATCCCTTGAGCAGTTGATGTTGATGATGAGGACGAGGATGACAATAAAGAGAAGATTAGATCACCGGGATGCTTTCCCATAATCACTTCCAGTGCCAACACCCCAAAACTATATACATCGCACTTCTCATTCACTTTCATTGTATAAGCAAGTCCTACCAAAAAACAAAAATGCCCATCAACAGAAATAGTTAAATAAAGGGAGGGTGGAAAAGTAAATAAAAATGCTCCTGGCCCATTTCTAGATATTGATTAAATTGCTTAAAATTCTTTGATAAATGGCGCAAATAGTTTAGGGTTCCAAAAGAAGGAAATTATATAAATGCTTGATGCATGCCAATGCCAAAATTTCAGAATATGAAAACCTGAGAACTGTGAATATCTTAAAATAGGATAGTAAATTCATTGAAGCAGCTACCTACCTTTCCATACATGATTTTCAAGACATCAATAGGATTGTTAGTCACCAATATTATCTAAAATCTTTCAAGTGTTATTACTCAAGAATTAATTTGACAGAAATAAAAAATTGATGAAAATTTGCTCACTACCAAATGTTAACTATAGAAAGATAAGTTTTTAAAGCAATGAACTATATACAGTGGCTTTTGTAGGACTATTCACAAGTGCAAGGATGGATGCATGATTTTAATGTTAGGGAGCAAACTTTTAATCAAGGAGAAAAAATTACTATTTGTGTTGCTTAGTTTGGATAATTTTCATTGACAAAAATGTGCATTTTTGTAATCACTGTAAAAATAGGTAAAGTCAAAAGATGACGATTCAATCTATTGACAAGAGGATAAATTATCAACTTTCTTGCTTTACAAACGCTTTGGCACAACTCAAATATTATTAACAATTTTTGAAATGTCTAATTTTGTAACTGAATTTAAAATGTAAATTAAATTTACTTGCAAGCTTGCAAATATCTTCAATTTTGAAAAATCAATTAGTTTTTTTTAAATCAGTTTTTGTAAAATGTCAACTTGAAAATGCTCAATGGCAATGTGATCTCTTTGTTGGTGACTACGACTTCCACCGAATGTAATTAAGATCTCAAAGATGAAGAAGAGAGAAAGACGTAAGTTAAATAGAGAAATAAGAAAAAGAGAAAGAATAGAAAGTATAAGTTGTTTTAAAATAGAGATGGAGAAGAGGAAGAACAAGTGAAAATGGAAATTGAGTTCCAGACAGAATTGAAATAACAAAAAAGATAGAGGAAAAAATTGAGGAAAAAGAAGAACAAGAAGAGAAGAGGAGAACCGAAACAAACAAGAAGAATAAGAGGTAGAGAGAGAGAAAACCTAGAGTTGAAGAGTAATGATTGAAACTTAAAACTGCATATCGAGCTAAAGAAAATCAATAAAATCTTGGAGGGGTGAGCCTATATAATTTATAAATATTGATAACTAAGACCACTATATTTAAGGAGTTATTTCAAAATTTTGGAGTGGCAGTCACCCTGCCAACCCCCTCGATCCATCGCTGCACAAGTGGTAAGTCATTAGAGCGGGCCAAAGTCTCAACTAAAACCATAAGTACTAAAATAAAGGAAACGCATAGAATCTTGTTGAAAGAATCATTTTCTTAAATGAACGTTAAACAAAGAGAAAATATTCCATGTCTTGCAAAAAAGAGTTTTTATTTTTTACTTTTTGGTAAACCTTGACGACATAAGGAGAAATTTATTAATAATCTAAAATCGAGAGGGGTAATGAGCCTTATCTCTCAAGAAATAGAAGAAAAAAAATATTCATGCAAAAGAATGCATAAATTACACTTTACATCCTTATACTTTACATCTAATCCCACTTTACCTTCTGACCTTTTAATTGTTTTAGTCAACCCTCCAGACTTTGAGTCAAATTGGAATTGGGCCTATTTGTATAACCTTGTTTCAAAAACTAACAAAGAATAGTCATCTGATAGAATTAATTACAATTAGCACCCCCCTGCACTTTTATCAAAATCTCATTTTATTCCTTATCAACTTGGATTTTCACCAAAATCTCAATTTAAGACAATGTTATATGCTTAGGTCCAATTGGAACTGGACTTGAAGTCTAGGGGCTGACTGAAATAATTTAAAAGTCAAAGGGCAAAGTAATAACTGGTGCAAAGTATAGGGATACAGTGTAATTTGGCCCAAAAAAGAATCAACACTAACAAACTTGAATATATATATATATATATATACAAAGTACCCAACATATCTAAAGCCACAACAGGCTTAGGCAATCTACAAGGCTCTTAAAAACTAGAGATATAAGAATTATTATCACAACCCCAATTAGCTAACACATCTACAACACTATTTACTTACTCCAGTGCATATTTTTCAACTAAAATGGCTTTTCAGTAGCTATGCTCATCATACATGAGAATTTAAGGGTATGCATATTAGATAAAAAGCTTAAATCTAGCAATTTGTCATCATTGGTAAGTTAAAATGAACAAACACTACATGGGTAATTTAATTGGAAATAAATCATTGCAATAGAAAAATATATACCAGGAGCAGCATAACCAAAGGTCCCAGCAAAGGAGGTCCAATTGGATGAGTTGAGATTCATAAATCTAGCTGTGCCAAAATCAGAGATGTGAGCCACATACTCTAAATCAAACAAAACATTCTTGCTTGATATGTCTCGATGGATGATTGGTTGAAAACAATCATGGTGCATATAAGACAGAGCATTTGCCACACCTTTAACAGTGTTCACTCTCTTAATCCAGTCAAAGACTACTAAATCATCGTCCATACTCAACACCTTTCCCAAGCTTCCCGCTTCCAAGAACTCATAAACCAAAAACGAGTGCCTTGGGTGTACACAATAACCGTACAACTTTACAATGTTGTGATGCCGAATCTTAGTTAATGCGCGGATCTCACTTGCAAACCCTTTTAGATTAACCAAGTCATCATCAAGTGTTGCATGAAGTTTCGTCACAGCAACTACTTGACCATTTGGTAGGACAGCTCTATAAACGGTACCATATCCTCCCTCTCCAACACAACACTTGGCACTAAAGTTCTTAGTGACTTCAATGATGCTTTCATAGACCATTTTTCCATCATAGCTCCATATTGCAAAAACATTATCATGGTTTACTCGTGATGGCTCGTTTTTTGTGTTCCTCACTTTCTTACGAAAAGCCATGAAAATGCCAAGAACCATTAGCAAAAGAAACAAAATTCCAAAAACAAGAATACGGTTAGTACCATAACTTTCTTGCCCTTTTTTTCAGCATCCCCATTGTTCAATTTTGTCAAGCAAGCCTTCAAACCAGTAGCATTACCACATAAACCTTTATTACCTTTGAGTGCCTTGAATGGAGCCTCTTGGAAGGCCTTGATGTCAGGAAGAGGACCTTCTAACTGATTGTATGACACATCAATGGAAGTAAGACTTATCATTTTATTGAAAGATGATGGTATAGAACCAAAGAACTTATTGTGTGAGAGATTCAACCTTTCTAAGCTTCGCAATTCTCCAATCTATTATGGTATCTTACCAATTAGCAAGTTATTACCAAGATCAAGACTTTGAAGAGTGTTAATCTGGCCTATTTCAATAGGAATGCTTTCCCCAAATCTATTATTGCTCAAATTCAAGTTCCAAAGTTTCTTGCACTCTCCTAGTGCTCTAGGGATTGAGCCACTTAGATTATTTGCTGCCAAGTTAAGGTTCTCTAAATTGGACAACTTACTTAATTCTGGAGGAATATTGCCTAATAGATAATTATCATCCAGCTTAAGGTTGAATAGTGAAACCAACCTTCCCAATTTCAATGGGATCTCTCCAAATAGATGATTTGAAGAGAGATCTAGAATGGATAGCTGAGTTGCCCCTACTAATTCAGATGGTATCCTACCAGAAATTTTATTGTTAGACATTTTGAGACTAGTTAAATTGTGGCATTTTCCCCAGTTCTTAGATAGCTCACCATAAAAATTGTTATGACTCAAATCAATGTAATCCAAGCTTGGGTATAAGCCAAAATCTTCTGATATATTTCCCGAAATTTGGTTTCTGTCAAGCCTAACTCTATATAAGCTAGAGCAATTTCTCAAGCTTTTTGGGATGGGACCTGTGAGATTATTATCATTAGCTGTAAAATTAACCAGCAATCCATTAAAGCAAAGGCCTTCTGGGATATGACCATTGAACATGTTTTCATCTATGATAAACTCTGTTAAATGTGTAAGATTGTTGAACACTGAGGGAATAGATCCAAAAAGCCTATTGTAATTAAGGTACAACATTGCTAAGTTGCTTAAGTTCCCTATAGATGCAGGGATTGAACCAGTGAGATTGTTCCCTGAGAGTTCGAGATCAATGAGAGACCTCAGCATCCCAACTTCTTGAGGGATTGATTCGGAAAGTTGGTTGTCATAAAGGTACAAAAGGGTTAAGTTGCCTAAGTTTCCAATTGAAGAAGGGATTGAACCGGTGAGCTTGTTCATTGAGAGTGCGAGTTTAACGAGAGACCTCAGCATCCCAATATCTTGAGGGATTGATCCGGAAAGTTGGTTGTCATAAAGGTACAGAGTGGTTAAGTTGCCCAAGTTCCCTATAGATGTAGGGATTGAACCCTGAGCTTGTTCCCTAAGACTTCGAGATCAATGAGAGACCTTAGCATGCCAACTTCTTGAGGGATTGATCCGGAAAGTTGGTTGTCATAAAGGTACAAAAGGGTTAAGTTTCCCAAGTTTCCAATTGAAGAAGGGATTGAAGCGGTGAGATTGTTCGTTGAGAGTGTGAGTTTAACGAGAGACCTCAGCATCCCAATATCTTGAGGGATTGATCCGGAAAGTTGGTTGTCATAAAGGTACAAAAGGGTTAAGTTGCCCAAGTTTCCAATTGAAGAAGGGATTGAACCCCTGAGATTGTTAGTATACAAGCTGAGCTTATTGAGAGAGCTGAGCAATCCTATTTGTTGAGGGATGGAGCCATCGATTGGGTTTCTATTCAGGTACAAGATCCTTAGATTGGTTAGTTGGCCTATTTCAGTCAGAATTGTTCTAGAGAGAATGTTGAGAGGCAAGCTAAGGTAGGTGAGTCTCCAAAGGCCACCAATATGGGGGGGGAATGGTCCCATAAAGTGAGTTGTTAAAAAGATCAAGGGTGAGGAGATGAGGAAAGGATGAGAAATTAAGATTAGAAAGAGTACCTTTCAAACCATAATCCCAAAGGTTTATATGGGCAACTCTACCGGCCTTGTTGCACCGAATTCCAAGCCAACTGCAATGGTTGGTTCCAACCCAGGAGGACAGGAGAGTTTGAGTTTGGTTGTGAAGGCTAGCTTTCCACGTCAAGAGAGCTGTGGGTTCAGCTGCTTGTTTTCCAGTTAAGGAAGAAGCAAAAGCAGCATAATAAAAAAAAGTGGGCAATGCAAGGATGATGAGGCAGAGTAAAACGGGTGGGAAAGAAAGAAAGTGGTTGGGAAGTGTATTGGGCAAGAATGTCATTGTAGGCTTGTTTTTTTTTTATAGAATAGAAAGACAGTAATATGATGGAGGGATGAAGAGCTGCGAGAGCATACAAAGGTATTTATATAGATAATAGAACTTGGAAAATTATTAGTTGGGTTTGAAAATTCTAGTGCAATTCCTTTCAATAGTGTTGGTTTGGATCTTCCACTAAGATCATGCCAGATCAATGCATATGAAACACATGTCTTTGGACCATTACTTCTGTAACAAATTATACAACATTAGCGTTCGATCATTTGGATCAATGACCTTGCGCTGTGTTTGGTCCTCCAATAGTTTCATTTGCGGCTCTCACATTTTATAAATTAGGACAAAATACATTTCTTTATATATATTTTTTGTATTACTTTGATTTTTTAAAATTTTTAATGTTATCACTGAAGTATTCACGGAATTGAATTGATTCAATTTTAAACGGATTGTAACAAAATGATAAAGAAATAGTTTCTAAAAAATGAATTTCGTGTTATTTTGGTCTCTAATATTTTATTTTTGTCACTTTGAATCCTAGACTTTTTTATTTTTATTTTTTAAGTGCAACTTTGAATCCGAAACACTAATGAAAAAAAAAAAGGGTAAAAGATAATCATTCTGTTAATTATTTAAACAACACAATGATATACATAATTTTCAAATCACAACCAGTTTTAATAATAATAATAATATTATATGTAGACTTGACTTTACTTGACTTTTGGGAATTCCTGTCGTTTTGATTTTTTTAATAACAATAATATCAGGAGAAAATTTTGAAAATAATTATAAATTAATAATAAATTTTATTAATATTATTAATAATTAAAATTATAAATTTTTTCTTACAAATGTAATAATTTTATCAACTCACATCTTTTTGGTAATTTTCTTTTATTATTATTATTACAAAAATGTTATGGACAATGACATATCTTTTCAGATTTTTTTAGGGAAAGTGATGTATGATAAATATTGAATTTGTACAGTATAAAATTTATATATGAAATTAATATGAGTCATTAATATAAAATTCTGAATAATTTTTAAATTTTTATGTTTGGTCCATAATATTATTGTTATTATTAGGGCAAATTACATATACCTCCTTCGAGATTTAGCTAAATTACAGATACTCCCCTGAGATTTTGAAAATTACAAATATCCCCTGAGGTTTATATTTTCATAACAAATTGCTCCCTGAGGTTTATATTTTCATAACAATTTGCCCCCTGAGGTTTATATTTTCATAACAATTTGCCCCCTAATTTGTTATGCAAATAGTAAGAGAGAGATCTGAAGCATCCTTATCTCAGTTAGCACTCATGCTTAATCTAACATGTTTCTTGGTTGTCCAACACTTGTCATGCAACATTGCTGGTCTATATGCCATTCTATTGAACTTACCTTTTAGTCTAGTAGATATTCATTAATATTTTATTAAATTTTTTATTAGCTAATAGTATCACATAAATAATCCAAATAGAAAATACTTTGTTACCCCCGAATTTGTGTGGCTAGAGAAGGAATGAGCTCAGAATGTGTCAAAACAACGTCGTTATTAAGACATTTGAGCCATTCGAGCTAAGAAATTCGAGTCAACTACATTTTGTTCCAAATAACACTCGCTTGAGTCTTTAATAGGCAAATAGATATATGGAATAGGAGGGCTTTAAAAGAAAAAATGTTTGAGGGCCACAAAGTATGAGCTCAAATGGCTCAAATTGCCAAAAACGACGTCGTTTGGACGTCCGTTTTAAATAGTATACGTTCAAAACGACGTCGTATTTGAACAATTTTGAGCCATTTTGAAGCCACACTTTTTTGTGGTCCTCTCCATTTGCTCGCTTTAAATCTCTTTATTCCGAGATTACGCACTATGTAACAGGGGCAGAACGGATCAAGTTGCATGGCTTAGGGAAAAAAGAACAAAAAAAAGAACAAAATTATAAATTAGTTCAAATTTAGATCAAATCATATAGTATTTGATTTCATTATCTCAATACAATATTCGATTATATAAATTCTTAAATAAGCAAATTGTACTTCATGGTATGATTTGTGATTTTGTAAATTATAGTTTCAGTTTATAAACTGAACTGGACTATTGAGATATATGCATATATATAATTTCTTATTTATAGTAGATACTCAAGTACTTTATGAGTATCTTAATATACATTCATAAATTGTTAATCCCTTTGTTCTTGTAAGTATTCTATTATATATATAATAAATAGAACTAGTTTCAAACAATTATTTAAAACAGTTGTTGTTTGTAAAATGATAATATATTGATTGACCTTTGAGAAAATTGTAATCATAGAATAAAAATGACAACTTATAAAATCATAATTCTAAACCAAATCGATTTTCCAGTTTGATTTAAGTTTTATTTCAAAA